TTGGAAGGGAAGCTCTGTCAGGCAGAGGGGAAATGTTTGTGAAGGGCCGAGGGAGTCCAGAGGTAATAAGCTGTGTTTAGACATTTTTTTTACGGATTTACTTTATTTATTTATACATATCAGAGCTGGGGTGCAGGCCAGAAGTGTGAGATGGTGGGGCAGAAGAGGATTCACTAGAGACAGAGTGGGGTGCAGACCAGGCAGACGGACTGAAACACACTGCTGAGGGGAGCAGCGGGCGGGTCAGGAGAGGTCTGCTGCGCCATGTGCCATGTGCCCCTGGCTGGGGATCAAACTCGTGCTGCAGTGGCTGCTGGTAGCTTCATATAGTGCTGCGCTTAAACTAACCCTTGCGCATCCAGGGAGGCCCTGTGTTTAGATTTCAGTGGGAACATGGCAAGTCTGGCTTTGTGATCTTTATAAAGTAGTCCTGAACTGGAAGAATCCAAAGGCAGCGAAGATCAGAAGCATGAAGAGCAGACAGGAGGCTGCTGCGGTAACGAGGTATGGTGAAGCGGGTGTGGTTCAGGATGGTGGTCATGGACTGGGGCCACTGGTCACTGGTGGGGCCACCAGTGCGCTTCCCCCAAGGGTGGGTGAGTGGGAGCTGGTACCCCTAGGCGCCTGGACTACTTGGTGTCAGTTGCTCATGTCCTTCAGTGGACTCTCATCCATCCTTATTCCCAGAGGAGCAGCTGGACAGCCAAAAGGCCGGAGGCTGCTAAGGCTTGGGAGGAGGCAGAGGGGAGGGAAAAGGGGAAGTTGGGTCAGAATCCAGATACGGTAGGTTTCCGGGAAAGGAATCTTGGGTTTCCACAGTGTCTGGAAATTCCGGTCTTTGATTCCACCTGAGACCTCCTCCCCCACCAAATTCAAATTTGGGTGCTCAAATCCTTGGAAGTCCTGGGGTCTCTCTGGGGGCTATGAGTCTCTACCTGACGGGCCACCTTTGCCTGACAGACCCCCAGAGCTCTTGCCAGCCCTTGCGTTCGGTGCCTACTTCCTGGGAGCTAGTCAGTGCCCGCCATTCCCTGCACTGTCTGGGCAGTCCTCACAGAACCCCCAGAGGCACAGTGCTTATTTCTCCCCATTGTACATTTGGGACTTCCAGGGGTTAAGGAACTTGCTCAAATTCACACAGCTAAAGTGAGCAGAATGAGGACTTGAACCAAGGTTTGACTGACATCAGAGTTTATGCTTTTAACTCCTGTGCTATATTAAGCTTGTCAACACCCCCCCTCCTTGATTGGCTCAGTGAGGGGAGGAGACTTTGTGGGGGATTTGCTTGTGGCTGGGGTGGTGCCCCCCCTCTCATATCAAGTGATGGGAAAGGGTAGCACTGACGTCAATTGTTGCCATAGTGATACAGCAACCCTTTCCCTGCCATCTCCATGGTAACCTGGGGGGTCCATCTGTACTTCGCCCCCTCCTTCTAAAAGGGGGTCCCTTAGGGAGGGGCTGGCTAATAAGGTATCTGAGAGGAAAGACAGTGTTTCATGCATCCCCTTTTCCTTGGGCCCCTCCCCATTCCTCAGGCCCAGACTGGAACCTGCCTTGGAGTCTGGGGACAACTTTGTCCTGTAGGGTGAGGCAGGCAGGTCTGCCTTTCCCACCTGGGGTTCTCCTAGCCGTGCCCCCTTGTCATCCCACTGCCAAGTTCCAGGGCTCCTGAGCAGAACTGCTGGGAATCTGGCTGAGGGAGGCAAGTCTTCCCCAAGCCCTTTTCAAGGCCGGAAACCACCTAGTCCCCAAGGGCATGGCCGGCGGCTCTCTGCTGCTCCTCGAAGCCTGTCCCAGGAGCAGGCGCAGCCTCTGCTCATCTAGTGCTTGCTGTGCCAGATTCCGCTGGCTGCCACATGTGCACGACTCCTGAGATTGTCCAGCAGGTGTCAGGAAGCCCATTCTGCAGATCTGACATAAAGATTCAGAGAGTCTAAGTAACCAGCCCAAGGTTGCACAGCTAGAAAATGGCAGAGTTAGGATTCAAACCCAGAGTTTCAGCCAGTGACTTTTTCAGGTAAAAAGAGGAAGACTCAGGCTGGAGCCTGTCATGCTATAGAACAAAGTTCAGATTCCAGGTCTCCTTGGTCCTGCTTCTTTTCTGTTTCCTCATCTGAATTCTGAGCTCTGCAAGACAAGCAATGTGTCAGATTCAGGTCTGGATTCTTAGCACCTGGTGTGGCCCAGATGGTGAGGTGACGGTGAGGGCTGGTGAGTCTGAATTCTTAGGATTGGCTGTCCTCTTGCTCTGGGCCTTTGCCCAGTGTTCTCTCCACCTGGTGCACCCCTGCCCTCACTTGTGGATGTGGCAGAGCTAACCGGCCCCAGGGCCTAGCCCACTGGCAAGGTGTGTCTGGGATCTTTGCTGCCCTCTCCAACCAAGTGTCTGGAAGGTAGCAGTGGATCTTTTTTTTTTTTAAAGATTTATTTATTTGTGCACACAGAACTGGGGTACAGGCCAGAGGCTCAGGGGCGGTGAGAGGCTTCACCACAGACAGAGTGGGGAGCAGAACAGGCAGATCAAGGAAGTACACTGCTGAGGGGAGCAGCGGGAGGGTCAGGAGAGGTCTGCCATGCCATGTAGTCCCCCTCCGGGGCAGGCGGGGCTCGAACTCATGTAGAAGCGGCTTTTAGATTCTCAGTGCTGTGCTTTAACCTGCTCTGCCACCAAGGAGGGCCAGCAGTGGATCTTTTTAAGGAGGAGGAGAAAAGGAGAGTTGAGAAGGCATGAGAAAGGAAGTGAGGGATATGATAAGAGAGAAAATAACTGGAAGGAGTCGACATATGACCAGGTCCATAGTTAGTGCCTTTTTTCTCCACAGGAGGAAGGGACTTGCCTGAGTGAGACCTCCTTTCAGGTCACGTGTCACTTCCATGTCCCTACCTGTCCAGTTCACTGCTAAATCCCCAGTGCTCTGCACAGACCTGGCAGTAGAGCCTGGACTAGGACCCAGCGGGTTGACTCCGAGCCCCACGGTCTGAGGCTCCATATTGCCCTCGCCCCTGTCACTCCTCTTCAGACTTCTTTTCCTTCCAGGTATACCCAGTGTTTGCACAAGTTATCACTGCTCCTGGAATGATTTTTCTTCCCTGTGATTTTCTGGTGATGCTGCCAGTCACCCAGTTTTGTGCATGTACCTCAAGGGTAGCTTCATCTGGGCCATTTCCTAACAGTGATAATTGACCCGAGTGTGCATGTGATTTAAGAAGGATCAAGCACTGCTCTTTCCAGGGATCCAGTGTTGAGATGGGAGAAAGCTCTCCCTTCCTGGGTTGTCTAAGCTGCTGTAGCCAAGTTCCCTGCCCAGAGAAGATAATTAGGGATGAGAGATGAACAGAGGAGTAATTCCACTGGGGTTGAGTCTTTGGTTCCAGACCAGTGGATACCCTGGTTCCTACAATTTTTCCATAGTTTATGTTCTTCCCAGCTTCTAGAAACACTTTTTTTTTTTTTTTAAATAATGCTTAAGCTAAGTTCAGTTGCTTCCAGTGGAGATATCTTATTAACACAGAGGTCAATAATAATACTTGTCTCTCCAAAGTTACAGTGGCCTATGAGGTGAGTAGTCCTTCAAAGGAAGGAGATCTTTTTCTGCAGAGCACCAGCATGCATTAAGCTGAGTGGGGCCTGCACAGAGTTTGGTCGGGATTATAACAGCTGGGTTATACACATAATAGAACTATCCAGGAGATGAGGATGGAGGGTGCAGTGTTATGGCCTGGAACTAGGTATTATTTTGGTGAAGAGCAAAGTGGCATGGCGGGGCTTGCAAGAGCTAGGGTATTTGTAAACAGGGCCCTGAATGGCCCAGTCTAAAGTCCTTACTTTGTAGTAGACCCTGTGTGTGTGTGTGTGTGTGTGTGTGTGTGGTGTGTTTTAAGATTTGCTTACTTTTATGCATACAGAACTGCAGTACAGGCCAGAGGTTCAAGGGATTCACTCGAGACAAAGTGGGGAGTGGAACAGGCAGATCTACAGCTTGACAAAGCCCACAGTGCAATGGGCACTAAGTGGGGATGAGGAACTAAGCACTCAGTCGGACAGTAGGTGCCACAGCTGGGAAGGAGAGGTAGCCGGGGGCCTTCCTTGAGAAGTGACAAGTGTTGGAGATCTAGAAGGGTAAGTGGGATTGGAAGGGAAGCTCTATCAGGCAGAGGGGAAATGTTTGTGAAGGGCCGAGGTGTCCAGTGTGGCTGGACAGGAAGAGGTAAATAAGCTGTGTTTAGTCTTTTTTTAGGGATTTATTTTTTAAATTTATTTATACATATCAGAGCTGGGGTGCAAGCCAGAGGTGTGAGGTGGGCTGTGGAAAGGAGTGGGCAGTGAGAGGATTCACCAGAGACAGAATGGGGAGCAGAAAAGGCAGATGTACTGAAATACACTGCTAAGGGAGCCATCTCTGACCACAGTTCAACATAGTATAGCCACCCAAGTGCCCTGTTGCATCAACAACCTGTTGTAATTTTTGGTAGGCACTTTATAGATTTCCTTTCAGTTATTGGCCACCTTGCTGTGTGACAGGTGGAATTGTGACCCCTCCCAACCCCCAATTCCTGTGTTGATGTCCTAACCCCAGAATATGACCTTCCTTGGAAATAGGGCTATTATAGATGCAATGATTTAAGGTGAGTGAAGCCTAATTCAGTAGGACTGGCATCCTTACAAAAAGGGGAAGCACAGGAGAGTGGTGTGAACATGAAGACAGTCATCTGCATGTCCAGAAGGACAGGGACAGTAAAACTAAATGGCCCGGTGTGGGTGGCCCATTCTAAGTTGTCTGTCTCCATGATCTTCTCTGGACCCCCACTGGTCTAGTTCAATAATGCGATTTTCACTAAAGAAACACAGAGGAGTGTGGGAAGGATGAAGGCAGAGGCCAAGGGGAAGGGCTGCCGATGGGGTCAAAGGAAAGAGGCAGTAGAGCTGAACGTGCTATTGGAGGGGCAGGACTGTGCGGTAATGTCATCCGACGGGATAGACATACACAGCCAGGCCGAAGTGGAAAGAACAGTTTATGCTGTGCTTTATTAAAATGTGCATCATTCTTTTATTTTAAAATGTGCATCATTGTCTCGTGCTCGGCGCGCGCGACCTCAAGGTGGTGGCCCGCGCGGGGCCTCGTCCCGCCCAGCTCCCGCGAGCCGCCGGATGCAGGCGCACTCAGGTGGCGCGGGCCCGGGGGCTCCCGCCCATGGCCAGGTAGACGTCGATGGGCACGTGCAACAGCGTCAGGCAGTGGCAGCCCGGGCAGCGGCGAAGTGGCCTGGAAAGCAGGGCGCGGCAGGGGCCCCTGAGGCGGGGCGAAGTGGCCTGGAAAGCAGGGCGCGGCAGGGGCCCCTGAGGCGGGGCGGGCCAGACGTGTGGGGGACGCACCCCGGGAGTGCGCCTGGGGTCCCGAGGTTCGGGCGTGGATGTGGGCAGCTTAGGTGGGGCGGCAGTGTGGGTGTCTGCGCAGCAGCCGGTGGGGCGGGGTTCCCCCGAGGTGGGTGGGGCCGGCCGGGCCGGTAGGAGGGGGTCGCGGGTTGGTGGGGCGTGGGGGGGGGGAGCGGGCCGCCGGCCTCACCTGACCGGGTTGTGCTCCGTCGCTACCGGCTCCGGGCTGTCCTGGGACTCGGGGGCGGCGGCAAGGCCAGGGGAGTCTCCGGCCTCAATGGGGAATCTCCGACCCTGCGGGGGCTCCTGGGCACTCATGTCCCGGCCCCGGGGCGCTCTGCACGGGGAGTGGCAGTCAGGCCGCTCGTTGGCCGCTGGGCGCCCAGCCCCGTGCCCACCGCCGGGGTTGTGCTTACCTGCCGGAGGCCGAGGCCGGTCCCAGGCTGGAAGCAGCTGCCCGAGCCCTGGCCGCCGGAGGACACTCCGGTCCAGGCGGAGCCGGGCAGGTGTCTGCGGCGCGTCCGAGCCAGAGCGTCGAAGGGGAGGGCTGCATTGTGACCCGGGCCGCGGCGCGCTGACCTCACAGTGCCCGTTCCTCCCGCCGGGGAACCCCCAGCCGCTCCCGGCCACCCTGACACTTGGTGCGGCCGCGAACTGGGCGCGGGAAGGCTCTCGCCATCGCTCGTTGAGACCCTGCGCGTAGACCTCCAGCTGCCGGATGGGGGCGCAGGAGGCGAGGGCAACCAGCCCCGCCGCGGCGCCTACTGAGCGGGCCGGGTGTCCTGGGCGGGGCGCCCACACCCCGGAGCGCCTCCTCTGGCTGGCGAGGGACGGCGGCCGGTGACACCGGGTGCTGGGTTTGGTAGCAGTGGTGGCGAGGGCAGGTAGGGGCATTGCCCATTTTGGCCAAGGGTCACACAGCATTTACATCACAATTGGGCCAGTTTTAAAATATCTAGCTCTTTCTCTCCTTCCCACCCGCGGCTGCAGTGTGCAGGGGGAGAATGTTCTAGCGCTGGGGGCAGCTGCGGATGAAGTCCTTGGGGGGAAAAGGAGCGGGCCAAGGGCGATGGTGGAGTAGAGCTGCCTCGCGGAGGCAGCATGAGCTGAGAGGGTGATAGGAAGGAGGCACTAGACAGCATGGAGGACTTTCTGCTCTCCAATGGGTACCAGCTGGGCAAGACCATTGGGGAAGGGACCTACTCAAAAGTCAAAGAAGCATTTTCCAAAAAACACCAAAGAAAAGTGGCAATTAAAATTATAGACAAGATGGGAGGGCCAGAAGGTGAGCTGGGGTCCCTCTGAGGGAAGGGAGGGCTGGTTTAGGTGTGGCGCATGGAGTGTGTGTCCTCCCCTGTAACATGGAACCAAGGAGAAAGAGAGGTTGGTTGGTTCTGCCATTGGGGTAGGTTGTAGGGAACAGAAGGACCCTCGGAGTCCAGAAATATCACCCCTTCATAACAAGATTAGAAGAGGCAGAACCTCAGCACCACCAGGCCTTTCCTACTCCAGGAAGGGAACAGATTGGCAGGCAGGTCATGGTCAGGGCTAGCAGAAGGCACGAGCTGATGCTAGGGGAGGTAGAGACAGGGAGAAGATAAAGCTCAATGAAACAATTGTGGGTGAGGAAGAGGATGAGGGAGCAGGTTCACCACCGTGCAGGCAAATCTACCTTCCTGAGGCTCCATGGTGGTGGTTAACCATCCCCCAAAGACTTTGCTCTCCAGGCTCTCAGAGTGCCTGCAACAGTCCCTGAAGGTGGCAGGGACCAGTTCCTTTGAGTAACTCATTAGCTACTAAAACAAGAGGTCAATATTCTTTGCAATGGCCGAGCCGCTGAGTTTAAGACTGTTAAAGGGAACCAAGGAACAAGAGTCCGACCTAATGAAAATGGGAAGAAATTTGTGGGGTGGTGGTGGAGTACAGAGTTAGACCCTTCTGGATGTGCCACCCCCATCTCTCTCTCTCTCTCCTCAGAGTTTATCCAGAGATTCCTGCCTCGGGAGCTCCAGATTGTCCGCACCCTGGACCACAAGAACATTATCCAGGTGTATGAGATGCTGGAGTCTGCTGACGGGAAAATCTACCTGGTGATGGAGCTGGCTGAAGGAGGGGATGTCTTTGACTGCGTGCTGAATGGGGGGCCGCTGCCTGAGAGCCGGGCCAAGGCCCTCTTCCGTCAGATGGTCGAGGCCATCCGCTACTGCCATGGCTGTGGTGTGGCCCACCGGGACCTCAAGTGCGAGAACGCCTTGTTGCAGGGCTTCAACCTGAAGCTGACCGACTTTGGCTTTGCCAAGGTGTTGCCCAAGTCACGCCGGGAGCTGAGCCAGACCTTCTGCGGCAGCACAGCCTACGCAGCCCCCGAAGTGCTGCAGGGTATTCCCCATGATAGCAAGAAGGGCGATGTCTGGAGCATGGGCGTGGTCCTGTACGTCATGCTCTGTGCCAGCCTACCTTTTGACGACACAGACATCCCCAAGATGCTGTGGCAGCAGCAGAAGGGGGTGTCCTTCCCCACTCATCTGGGCATCTCGGCCGAATGCCAGGACCTGCTCAAGCAGCTCCTGGAACCAGATATGATCCTCCGGCCTTCAATTGAAGAAGTTAGTTGGCATCCATGGCTAGCAAGCACTTGATAAAAGCAATGGCAAGTCCTCCCCAATAAAGCAGGGGGAGAAAGCAAATTCAAAAACCCGCTTCTAAAATGGTGATATATATTTTACACTTTAAGTTTACTTATCCTAAAACTTACCTACACACTCCCAAGCCTTACTCTCTTTCCTTTAAAGAGCTTCATGGAACCAGAGGGTCTCATTCAGACTTCCCTTTTATTACGGCTGACAAGTGATTTTCATACAGGTGTTTTAAACACAGACCCCAGAACCAGACATACACAGGGGTAGGAGAGGAGAAAAATGACCAAGAGCAACTGGAACCACTGTTGTTGCAACTTCCTTTCCGAATAAAAGCAGAAGCGTTGGGAATGCAGAAACGGCCTCTTGACTCCTTGTCTTGGTGAGAGGCCTGTGGGGACCCTGTCCCTTCCTCATCCCAAAGGCCAGGATGAGTCTGGGATGAGAACAAGAGGCTTCCTCGGACTCAGACTGTGCCCCCACACCCCTGTGGGAAGCCCCTCCTGCACACGGTGTGTGCCCTGGCTCCAGGGTGGCTGCTGTGGGGAACAAGAACAGATCCCAAGACACCTTCCACTTCTGTTGAATTTCTTTAATGCTGTTAAACGGCAAATCTGGAAAAGGTTCAGGACAAAGTTCTTTTTCTTTCTTTTTTAATTACAAAACTAACAGCTGTTAGAATCTTTTTTTTTTTTTTTTCCTTTTTTCTTTTCCCGGCTACAAAATACTCTGGGGAGATGCATTATAATTTAAAATATATAATATTGCACAAACAACCAAAAGGTTAATTAAACTAAAGAAGTCATTACAAAGAGAAAAACCCCATCCCAGCGAAGATTCAGCATTCTCTCCATCCCACCCCCTAGTGAAGTCTGAGTGGAGTGACCGCCACACTCGGCGTCCTGACCACAACCCCTTTAAATCATGGGCGAACACACCAGATTATGTACAAGAATCACCAAGCAGCATCGTGAAGCACCAGGGTCTTCAGGGATCCCTGCAGCCCCTCACTGCCCCAAGAGAGGTGCAGCTTTACCAGAGTGGAGGGTGAGACAGCCACAAAGACTAGTGCGTCTTCAGGAAGAAAAGCTTTCGCAGGAGCCTGATGAGTCTCCAATTCGCCCCAGCACATCCCTCCGAGAGGGCTGAGGCAGAGGAGTCAGCTCACCAGCGCTGTAAGTACTCAGCTTTGATCACTGCTCTGTACCGCCGGTAGCTGGCTTATGTCCTTACGCTACAGGGGAGTCGAGGTGGGGAGCTGCTAGGACAAGGTGTCCACCAGGCAACTCAGAAGGGCCTGGAGTGACCCCTCCCTTTGGGGGAGGGGAAGAGATGCAAGAGCAGACTCCTGCAGGTGGCACAGCCGGGCTAAGGACCTGGGTGCAGCTGACATCAAGCAGCCCTGGGAAGGCGCTGGGAACATACCAGTCTGGACTAGAGGGGGGTGGGAATGCAGGGTTTGGTCTTTAGATTCTGAGCCACAAGAACTTTTCCAGGAATAGAAAATACCTGGGAGGGGGAGATTCCCAAGAGAGGCAAATTCCCAGAGACGAAGGCCTCTCACCCACTGGGCCAGGAACCAAAACATGCTGCCCTCCCTGTCTAGCCAAGGACGGTGCCGCTCTCCTGCCTGCTTATGGGAGGGACAGGGCGTTGGCTCGGCTTCCTCCATGAGGCTGGTTGCTTAGCTTCTGTCTACACAGGCAGAGGACTAGAGCTGCCCCTTGGGACTTCCCAAGAGAGTCCTCAGGAACAGTGGGTGTTCAGCAGAGAAATGTAGGCTCTTCCGGTGAGGGGGGCAGGTCACCTCCCCATTAAATCATCCTATGATTGGCACAAGTCAGAATTCCTGGCTTGGGTTTAGTGAGCCCCTTCCCAGATGTGACAGAGGGCAAGCGAGTTGCAAATCAGAATCTGTGCTCAGAATTCTGGTTGACAGAGGCCATTTGGGGAACATTCTCAATCACTGTCTTCGGGGCCGGGCGGAGACGAGCGTGAGAGGTGGGAGGTGCTGTGGGTGGGGGAGCGGCCTGCCCAGGCTCTCCTTATTCCCAGTCCTCCCACTCTACATCTTCCAGCTGCAAACAGGGATAATGGAAAGCACAAGTCAAGCCTAGATCCAACCTCCCCTTGTTCAGATGGTCCTTCCTGACCCCCCTGTGCCCACCACCCGGGACATACCTGCCCCCTATGAAATTGAAGCACTAGGGAGCAGACCTGCTTTTTGCCTCAGGGGTGGACCTGCTGTCCGACTGCTCCAGGCCCAGAGGTTATGCCTCTACCAGACAACGCTGGCCACCACAAGGGAATGCCCTGCCCAGTCAGCCAGCCCCTTAAGGATCACTTGTCCCCTGCTGAACAGAAGACGATGTGGCTCTGAGAGACAGAGAGCTTGAGACTGTGATCAGAAGCAAGGATGGCCCGAGACTACAGGTGCTCATAGGCTCTGCACTAGGGGTTTCAGCACCCTAATCCCCACCTGAAGGCTCCCCAGACAACTTTCTCTTGGCCTGCTGCTATGACAGGTAATAGAATGACTCTGCTCAAGTATATTGTATGTCAGGTTTTAAAGGGGGCCACTAAGACAAAAGCCATTAAGCCCTGACCTTTCTTGGTCTTGGGATAGTGAGGTCATAGTGAAAAACACTGTGTGGGTCACTATCTCCCCTAAGTCTTTAGTTTCCAGTAAGAAAAATGAGGCCCTTTTGTATCTCTAACCTGTTCACCTCTTTATTAAATGAACAACATGGTGAAGGAATCCTGAGGTTCTTGTGTGACAGGGGAAGTCACACTGACATGAACAAGATGCCTGGACTGGAGCCTCAGTCCTCTCCCTGACCAGTTACGAGAGCTCTGTCCTAGCCTCTGACTCGAGTGAGCCTAGCGAGTGAGAGATAGTGAAGAGTGAGAGTAATAAGGGCTCCGAGTATAACCGGTCTGAGTTTTGTGGTGGTTTCAGTAACATCTATTAGTGCTCCAGTGTTCCAGGCACTGGGCCGAACACGTCTCTGCGTATCTACACAGCTCCTAGGCTCATTGTGACCAAGTCCGTGCTGTAGATGAGGAAACAAGAGGCTCAGGTTAAATGACTTGCCTTCGATCACAGTCTTCTGTCTCTAAGGAATCTGTTCACCTCTAACAGGAATCTGTTCAGGTCACATGCTGGGGACCATTGTCAGACCATGCTGGGGCAGGGCTTGGCACCTTATTTTTTTCAGTAGTTTCTTGGGTGATTTTCCACACAGAGCTGCTGTCAAGAACTCTCCCATCTACCAACCCTGAACTGAGGGGAAGCAGAGCTGTTGATGACAACTGTTCAGGGCCCAAGTGGGAGACTCCTGCTCCCTTCCTGGCAGAGCATGGTGTTGTTTCCCTGTGGCCACCAGGCCCACTCACCTCCCCAGAGGCATCCACTTTGGAAAGTGCCATCTGCACCTCTTCTTCGGTCATGTCCAAGTCAAAGTCCTTCTCCCAGTCCTCACTGATGTCTGTGCTTGACCCTGGAACCATAAGACACAATGTGAAAGGCAGGAAGGGGCATGTGAGAGGCTGTAGCTGGGGTAATGGCTTCTTTAAAAGTGTCTCACAGAGACCCAAAGTCTTTACCTTCTGCCTTCACTTGGCGTGGTGAGTCCACTTTTAGGAACCTATTCTTATGGACTATCCTACACTGAATCAAAAGGTTGGCCAAAGGACTATGTACTATAGTGCTGTTAGAGTGATGAAAACATAAAAAACCTAACAAGCCACTGACAGGGAGTCATAAAAATAAACAAACTGTGTAGGCACACTGGGGAACATGAGGAAGCTTTTCAAGGCTAGGCTGCAGAACATTTGTAAACATGGCAACAGTCTTCAACTACTGAGAGAAAGCAAGTTACTGAATAAGCGGCCCAGAAGCTCCCTGGGAGCCAAAGCAATCTTCCAGAATCAGTAATGGGCCTTGTCCCTCTCACTCCATTCTACTACCCTGATCTACCATCCCCGAAACATTCCAGGCCCATTCCACAGGAGGGCTGCTCCCTGCACCTGGACTCTCCTCCTCAGCTAGCCATAGGCCACTTCCTTGTCATCTTTACGCCTTTGCTGAAATCCCACCATCTACACAGAGCCTTCCTGACTGTCCCATTTTAAATCACAACCCAGCTCCTTCACTCTGCTCTTGTTCCTTTACCACTGTATGTATCACCTTCTCGTAGATGACGTAATCAGCTTCAATATGCTTATTGTCTAATAAATTAGGATGTGAGTGCCCCAAAGGGAGGGATCTTTGCTTTTGTTTTCTTACGTATCCCAAATGCCTAGGACACAGTTTGTACTCAGTAAATACTTGTAATCCATTTTTCTAAACCAGGGGTTAGCAACTATGGCTCATGGACCACACCCAGCCTACTACCTGTTTTGGGAAATAAAATTTTGGAACACAGTCATAGCCACTTGCTTCATTATTATTTATGGTTGCTTTCAGGCTATGACAGCACAGCTGGGTAATTTTATGGGTACTGTATACCCCCTCAAAGCCGAATATATTTGTGATTTCACCCTATCCAGAAAAAGTTTATTAATCCCTGCTCTAGGTGATTCTGATACCTGCTGAAGTTCCACAACTAATGCTCTAAATATCCATATTTGAGTATGACTTTTTTTTCCCGTAGAGGTACTGGGTGTCGGTCAGAGGTGTGGGGGTGGGTGACAGGATTCACCAGATACTGAGTGGGGAGCAGAACAGGCAGATCGAGGAAGTACACTGCTGAGTGGCGCAGCAGGTGAGACAGGAGAGGTCTGCTACGCCATATGCGAGTCATCTCCTTAGCTGGGGATCAAACATAGGCCCAAGCAGTGATAGCACTGATACGTAACACCTAGGCCACCAGGGAGGTCCCCTGAGTACAGCTTCTTATAGGCAGCATTAAAAGCTGCACGAGTGAGGGCCCTCCCTGGTGGCACAACGGGTAAGGACGCAGCACTGCAAGCTGGTGGCAGCCGCTTCACTGCGAGTTCCACCCCCAGCCTGAGCTGACCCACATGGCGCGGCAGACCGCTCCTGACCCGCCCGTTGCTCCCCTTAGCAGTGTGCTTCATTGACCCACCTGTTCTGCTCCCCACTGTACTCTGGTGAATCTTCTCACCACCCCTGCACCTCTGCTTGTACCCCAGCTCTATATGTATAAATGAATAAATAAATCTTTTTTAAAAAAAAGCTGCACAAGTATTACCAAAAAAAAAGACAAAATATTTCCCATAAATAAGTATCTATTTAAAAAAGCCTCTATACTATGACTGCATTTAAAACAGATGCTCATGGATGCAGGTACACACACAGAAGCAAGACACCCATGGAGATACTGTTATACACAGGTACTGAGGTACAGGGTAATTGTTCTTGGTATCTTTTTCTAAAATGAGCACGTATTACTATGTAATAAGTATTTTTTAGACCGTAAACATAGTAGGCCCTGAGCTCCCCAGGCTTGACTGCTAACATGGCCATGGTCCCGCTTCCCAGCCTGTTTCTGGCCAGGTGCCTGGTCCCGAGCCCCTCTAAGCCACCCCCTTTGCTCCTTCTAAGCAGTCTGCAGTTCTCTCTTCCCGTCACCTAGCTACCCAGGATCTGCTAAGAGCCTGGTCTCTGCAGCCAAGGAGATCTGGACTCCCTATTCTTTCCTCTACTGTGTAGTTGGGCAGGTTATTCTGGGCTTCAGTCTATTTTTAAGGATAAAACCACCCTCGTTGCAAAGAAGCACCCGAAGAGTTTCTTGGAATGCTGATTGTTGCCTCTCTACCCCCTCATTTAGAGTCAGCAGGTCTAGGTGGTAGCCCAGAATTCTGTGTTATAAACAGATACTGGATGATTGTGTGTTGACCTGGGCTTGCAGTCTGATGAACTACAGGGTCAGAATTAGAAGGATCGAAAGAGGTGCCGGTACCATACATGAGCATATTTCTTTGAAAGGTTTTATCTCAGAAAGAATTTGGCACATGGTCCCACACAGCAAATCTGGGCCAAGTATGTAACCAAGACCCAGTTCTTCTGCTGCCTGAGTCATCAGACATGTTGGTGGCCATCAGTACAGCCTTCCTGTCATTAGAAGCTGGGCTCCTGGCCTCTGTGCCTCACTACAAAGCTGGGGCTGTGGCCATGCATCCTTCCTTAACCACAGGCTGCTCTCCAGGGATCTGAAACTCTCTTTAGGCTGAAACACTAGGGAAACGCTTTCAGGGATAGAAAACAGAGTCTAACATTTGTAGGGGACATCATCTCGATGCTCTAGGATGGATATAAACTCCCAATTTACAGATGAGAAAACTAAGGCTTCGAGCATGTGGGCTTTCCTGTTACCGGTCTCCTCCCACCATCCTGTCCTGTCATGCAAGGAGGGTGACAGAGAACTGATCCACGCAACAACGTAAGGCCTCGTGATGGAGTTTTATGATGGTTATTAATGTCACAAAGCTGGCACTCAGCTCATCTTACTGTTTAATTGGATCTCCGCATCCCTGAAGAAGAAAGAGAGTCAAAAGCAACTCCAGATCCCAGTCAGTGGAGCAAGGGGCTCCTCGGCCCAGTTCCCTAGTCCTAGCTCCCCCTCCGGTCACTCTGCTGAGGAAACCTGAACAGGCTAAGTCCAGTTTCAGCTCAATTAGATATTGGGACGGCAGCCCTGTGATAACAGGGATTGCCCGGAGGCTCTGGGAGTCCCCATGGGCTAGGCCACCCCAAAAGACTGCTGTACCCAGAGACCAAATCCCCATGTCACTAGATGTGTCACTGGATGTGGACAGAGACAAGGAGTCATTGTCTTCAAGTTGGTACGCTTCCTTCTAAGATTAACTTCCTTTACCTGGCTCTCACTGTCCCACCCTAGGCCAGGGCCCCCGTGTGCTCTGGTAAGTGACTACAACTGCTTCTGGTGTGTCTTCTGCATTGAATCCCCAGCTCTACTTCTGCATATGTGTGGCAGGGGCAATTTAGCAGAGTGTGCTTAAGAGCTTATGCCTAACTTCGCACACAATCTCACTTCATGCAGGCTCCAACCACCACCCATTTTTCCTGATTACCTTCTTTAATAGCCTACTTCCAAGTGGAAGTGATAATTCCTGAAGCCTCCAACTGTTTTGCTGTCATCCCCTTCCTTACTCAGCTCAGAATCCACATCATAGATTGTTGTGGAATCCCTTCTTTTCCTCCACTAATTTCACCTAAACTTAACCCTGCTTAAATCCAAGTCCCCCTCTCTCTGCCTGCTCCTGAGCAACTTGAATGTAGCAGAGATACGAGTGATGACCAAACTCTCAAAAGCCAAGGCGTTACCTCAGAAGAGCATCAGCACCCCACACCATCTGTCAGGCCCACTCTCCTAAGGGACTATCAAACTTTTCTAAATATGGACTGGCTAGGCGGTGACCTGAGTTTCCTACCAGTAACAAGTGGGGACATGTGTACAGATCTCACAGGGCTGTTGTGAGGGCTGAGGGGGGCCTGCCTGCTGCGTAGCGCAGTGGGCCATGCTGGCTCCCCAACTCAGGGCTCCGCTTTGACTTCTCCCTGGTGAGGGGCTACTGTGAACAACTTTCAATTTACAGAGTAAATGTAGGCGCTTAGAAAAGACTTTTTTGAATGGCTTATGAAAAAAGGGACTGAACTCAGACCGCCCTTAGTCCCCATGCCTGGCTGCTTTATGGCACCATGTCCAATCTTCTGAAGCCAGTTTAAGATTTGAAGTTCTATTCCTGAGCCAACCCATCCACCCTTCTTGCTCCTCCCTCTCCTGGGAGACAATAAGGAAAAGAGGGTGTGGTCACCACCCCTTAAATATGCTCATGCTCTCTGCTACCTGGTCTTGTAGACTCCCCCAGCCTGGACTACTTCTCCCCTGCAGCTGCCCCAAACTCTCCAAGTCTCCTAGACGGCACCTAGTTCCTCAGAACGCTTCCAGATGTCCAGGGATTTCTTCTTTCTCTCCCATACTGCCTTGTGCTTCATCACAGAGACTGCAGTTTTTGCCCCTCCCTCCTCAGTGTCTCATAAAGAGTAGGTAGGAACTCAATGGATGACCTCACTGAATCAGTCAGAAGGACAGGTGCTGCTTTGGAAACCGGAAACCCTGCAGTTTCCATGGGGGGGTGGGGGTGGGGTCATCCCCATCCCCCATAGCAAACCAGTTTCTGACTGTCCTGCAAGCCAGGGTTCACCAGCTGACAGGCAGTGTTCCACAGACAGGGTGTGTGCGTGAGGACTTGAGGGGAGGGCTTGCTGACAATCAGCGAGCTCTGGAAAGGTATTTTCCATGTGGCAAGAGAGCTGCCATCAGAGCTATGACTGTCCCATAATTCCAGGAGTTAGAGAGATTCCCCTTTGCCATAAAGTCAGAGTCTCCAGTCTAGAATTCCATTAGAAGACAAACTACAGTTCTATAATTAAGCTGGGTCAGAACAAATTCAAGATCGTTCACCTTTTTATTCTTTAAACTGTAAAAGTGTTGATTATATATTTCATAATAACAAGGAAGGCTCAGGGAATGGAATAACCTTCCTGAGGGCACTTAGGGGAGAAGATCCTTGACATCATCAATGACATAGGGATTCCTAGCCCAAGATAAGGCTGAATTGTTAAAGCGACAGATGTTGGCATAGTGTGGTAGTTTCAGCCTGGGCTTCGAGTCAGACAGACGTGGGTCTTGCCACTTCCCAGCCAAGTCAATTTGAGCAAGTTACTGAACATGTCTGAGCCTCACTTTTCTGGTAAAATGGGGATAGTAATAATGACCTCAGTGGGTCGCGTGATGTGAGAAATTGCAACAAGCACAGAATCTGGCATAAACCTTTTTGTTGACTCTAAATCCCCACATCTAGAAGATGTATCCTTGTTTCAGAGAATATGAAATGCAGTAGCAAACATTCACTATATAGCAGGCACCACTGCTGGGGTCGAAGGACCCCTGCTGCTAATCCTCACCTGGGACAGGAGAAAAGGATGCATCAGAGGTGGCAACTCCTGCTCGCCCTGCCCCCAACATGCTCCCTGGCTTCAGCCTCACCTTACCTTTCTTTCCATTGTTGGAGGGAGTAGACTTTCCACTGTCTGAGTTCAGCTCAAACACCCGTAAGTCTGTGAGCACCTCTTCCCTCAGAGTCTCTACTCTGGCTGGAGGCCTGGGCTCTGGGCCACTGGGGCGGCCAGCAGGAGCGTGGGGTTTGGACTGAGCTGTGGGTGGGGGTCCAGTCTCGCCCGCATCCTCCGCCACACCCTGTTCCTCCAAAGAGGCCTCTAGAAGCTTTTGGGACAGGTCCTTGGGCAGCTCTGGTGCCTCAGGTGCGGCAGCAGGTTTGGCGATCTGTGTGATGAGAGAGATGCTCTCGCTGCTCTCTGAAGGAGTCACCTCTGTTGGAGGCTCAGCTTGGGCCACTAGATTTCCTTCACGGGAGCTCTGGGGGTCAGGTGGTCCTTCAAGGGATGTGGAAGCTTTGGTGATGGGAACCTCTGCCTCTTTTGGAGATGTGGGTGAAATGGCCGCGGGCTCCTCTGTGGAAAGAGAGGGGAAAGAGGGTGGTGCGTGCTGGTCAGACCCAGGATAACCTTGGAGTTCTCCGGAGACCAACGTCAGCTTCCTGCCAAAGTTTACTCTGGTCAAGACTAAAGGGTGTCATCTCCTCAGCTCCTCCTCATGGGTCAAAGTTTCTCTCTTACTCATAGGGCGAGACATTTAGCAGGCACTTGGCTTCTAGCAATGCCAAGATTGTACTTCCTCCCTAACCCAGTGCTTCCCATAACCAGGGAGTTTGTTAAAAATACAAGTTTGGCCACATGCTTACAGTCTTATTTATCTGGAAGGTGGGGAAGGGGATCTGGAATTTCAGTGAGCATCCCAGGACCCTGATGTAGCTGGTCCTGGGCTGGCAGAGGAACTGTTGCCACTGACATGTGTGATGTGTGTCTCAGCCCTGGGATCCCACCAGCCTCGGGATCCCACCAGCCTCGGGAAGCCTCTCCTTGTTAGCTCAGCCTGTCCTTCGCACGTGCACACACTCTCCTCATTCCCCACTTTCCCCTCAAGTGCCGCGTCTCTACAGACGTCCAAGAATGGCTCACACAGGTGCAGGCCCTATTGTTGCGTCCTCCCCCCTCTCCCCCACAGGCAGGCCCTATTACTGCCCCCCCCACAGGCAGGCCCTATTACTGCCCCCCCCACAGGCAGGCCCTATTACTGCCCCACACGCACAGGCAGCCCCTATTACTGCCCCCCAGCCCCCACAGCTCAAAGCCTCTTACCTTCTTCCTCCTCCCAGTCAGGCTCTTCAGAGATGCTCTGTTCTGCCCGCTGCTTCAGGGCATCCCTTCGGGCCTGCTCCTAAGTGTGGGGAGCAGATGGCCAAGATGAGTCAGGGTACCCCCTCCCAGACCCTGATCCTGACCCAGAATTCTTTGTACCCCATACCCTACCCCCCTCAACAAAACCACTTCCCCAGACTGAGGGGAGGAGCTCCTTGGGCTGGGCCAACATACCTGCTCGAGCTGATGGACTTTATAGAAATACCGATACCAGAATTCTGAATGGGACACAGCTGCAGGGACCTGGAGGGAGGAGACGAAAGCTGAGGCCCAGGACAGGGGTCGTGTGGTGTCCGCAAGCCCAGCCAATCAGCCTGTTTCTAGCCGCTCTGGATCTCAGATGGGTAAGTGGCTCAACAGTGCTTCTACCCCTCAGCCCAGCCCAGGCCACCTTCCTGGCCCATCACGCTGTGCTGGCCCACCCATGTCTCACCACCACTGCCAGAGATCTGGTATTAGCTTCCCCCACACGGATTCCTGGTTCGGGACCTGGCCCGTCTGGCTCTCCAGGGTCTCCCACTGCTCTCTGAGGCAGATGATTCCGCGGGACTCTGGACTTGTTGCACCCACCTCCCCACACCTCAAGCCTAGAGTTGTTGAGGTTCTGTGGGCCTCACCATCTTGGTGTAGAGGGCCCGGATGGAGGGGCTGCCTACAAGGAGCTCTGAGATCTCTCCCTTCTTCTCCTCCAAGCAGAACTGGGAAAGCCAGGAGTCAAATAATTCCGGCGGCCCTGCAGAGGGACAGACACTGACGTCAGTTCCCTGGGTTTGGGGAAATAACACTGGGCCTGAAGAAAAAACACCAAAGCCTAGACATGGACAGTGAGGATAAAACTTTTCTTTCAAAGCCATTTGACCCAAGTACTGGGTGCAGGCAGGCTGGGTCTCAGTGTTCAGGGGCATGGCACCTAAGCGACCACCCAGGACTGCAGCCTCGTTTCTCATGTGCCCCTGGCCTTTCAGTCTATCATCTGTCTCCTGGATCCCCTCCTTTCGGAAACAGCTGCTCTCGGGTTACTGGGGAGCCCAAGGTTTCTCCTCATTGTCCATCCCATTGCTACTGACCCTTTCTCCTGCCTCTTATCAGTGTTTTCTGTTTCTCTCCTAAGAGCAAGTTCATGGAGGTCTAGACGGGGCTAGGGTTTTGACTCATTTGGTTAGCAAGCAGGTGCAGAAGGCTGCAGGGCTGCAGGAGGCGGAGCTGAGGATGGGGACCAGCCCAGCAAGGCCTCTGCAGACCAGGAGCAAGGCAGCTGAGGGCATGGAGGGGAGGCTTCACAGCATCCCGCCAGGTGTAAAGCATGTACTGGCGCCACTCTGGTCCCTCTGCACAGGGCTGCCTGGCCACTGGGACAGACAGGGTGTCAGGCCCCTGCTGTACCTGTCCTGCCAGCCTGCCAGCCCCTCCCCGGTGCCACCCTCACCATCTGGTTCATTGCAGTAGGTTGCCGGGTCAGACTGCAGGCTGTAGAGGCGGGCCTAAAGAGAGGAGAGAGGACAGAAATTCTGAGGTACTAGGCAGAAAAAACCCCACTTCTGCCACATACCCAATCAGCTACCCTTGGCTGCTTCCCTATCACAACCTCTGGACATCTGTCAACTAACATTGTGGCCAGGGACCGGAGCACTGGCCAAGTCCAGAACTGGGGCTCCCAGGGCTCCACCCTTGGGAACCAAGAAAACATGGTGTAAGCAGGCTACAAAATTATACCTATAAAATGCTTTTAACTATGTGATATCTGAAAAATAATAGTGCAAACATAGTAGTAAAATCCAGATTTACAGGCAAATTTTGAAATAATGCAACTCCCTCTTAAAACTGTTCATAAAGAATCTCTTAATTTCACAGCCAGTCTGTGAAGTGAACCATGAGCTGTGTTCCCACTAGGACCACAGGGATGGCAAACTTCAGCTAGTAAGCAGAAGGCCCCCGCCTTCCTCAGTATGACGCGTGGGCTAGCGTCTGCATCAGTGGGTCTGGTGATTCATTGTTGTTAAACTTTTAAATGCTATAATTTAAAAAATTATAAAATTCCACCAAAATGTTCACTAAGTGGTGGTGCTAATGCTACTACTGAAAAGTGTGCATGAACAATCAGTACATTTGGAATGGAAATTCAACGTGGTAGAATGCCATGAAGAAGGCCTAACTGTTGACAGCGCACTGAATTCTGGAGAAAACACTCCAGACAATGAGAAGCAACAATGAGAAAATAAAATGGTTGTTCATTTAGGTGCTTTGAAGATACCTTCCTCCTGTACATGTCTCTCTATGGAAATTAGACAAATTATCCAGCTGTGGAGGCGATCACGCTATGTGGATATACCGCACCTAGGGATGGCTGAAAGAGCAAGGACATCTAAGTGCCCGCTATATTCACTTCCAAGAATTTCAGGACATTAAAAATGATGACAATTAGGGAAAATGCTAATTACGTATTGTAAACTTTTTAAAAGGTCACAAATGCACATATAAAGCACCTGTTTTTTGCTAAAAAGAAAAAAAAACAATCATTAGTATTTGCTCACAAAAAGGAACTAAAGGTTATATGGCAAAAAGGAACCTGTAGTTTTCTCTGGCTGGTGGCATTATGCCCTTAGAAACATGATTTCTTACTCGTGTTCTGAAAGAGTGCCCTTATCCATGGTCCCTCTCACATGGATTCAGGTCGTTGTGGTCAACTGAAATATGCTGCACAATTAGATACTGTGAGCAAGAAAGCGAGGCCATATTCACCAAACCTTTACTATAGCATATTGTTGTTATTCTATTAGTAACTACTGTAATCTCTTATGTGTGTAATTTGTACATTAAACCTTTATCACAGGGAGTTATATATAGGGAAAATCATAGACTACATCGGGTTTGGTACTCTCTGCTGTTCAGGTATCTACTGGGGGTCTTGCAGGGTAGCCCCTGTAGATAAGGGGAGACTACTGTGTTTTTGGGCCTGAACACACGTTGCTTTTGTGAGCACAGGTTAGAAACTGAAGGCAGTGTGTGGGTAGGGTGTCAATACTGAGTACCTTGGTACCATCATAGGGCTCAGCTGTGCCAGAGGGTGTGCCCATCAGGGTGATAACGTCACAGTCGATGGTTTTGTCTGGCGAGGGAGCAAAGGTGTCAGAGATCACCCCTAGGAAGTCAGACAGTCCCTTCTTCATTTTCTCCGTCGCGCCCGAGGAGCCTTCAGTCTTCAGAGATAAGCAGCAAGAGAAGTAAGTGGCCCACAAGCAGATTACAATCGGGGGTGTGGGGTTGGGAGAGTAAAGCATTGGGGGGGAAAAGGTACTGTGTGTGGGTCCAGGGAAGTGCCTATCATCTTCCACCTATCTCTGGGGCTGGCGAAGGAGAGAGGTGCCAGGCCCCTTTCCCCAGACAGGAGTGGGGAACAGGGCTGCAGCAGGCCTGTGCAAGTGAGAGCTGCGCTCTCCGAATGGCAGTTGCATCAAAATTTCAAGGCCAGTCAAGCATTTAATAAGTAGCAGTAGTGTAAAAATACAGTTTCATCATTACTGTGCAGGAAGTAGGCTATTTTAAATTAAAATCTGGTGAAATATGGGCAAGATAATAAGTAGTAGTTTTGCCCAGAGGCAAACCTGGGAATAGCTGGGGCCCAGTGGGGCAGCAAGCTTGAGCCACATTGATCAGAGTATCGGGCAGGCAGGGGTGGGGTGCTGAGATTAGGCCAAGCGCAAAACCTCGTGGAAGACTAGTATTCATTGCTGACTAGGCCGCCCAGGCATTTTAAACCTCAAACCTCCTTTAGCGCCTTGCACATGCTGGCAAAGGCAGACAGACATGTTGGTGAATGGGAAAAAAGGAATAAATGCAAGAAACAAGTGGAGTCTTGCTACTGGTTGGACATAAAGCCACTCCACAGGATTACTGCTAGTCACTAATTCTCCTTGGTAGCTGTGGGGACCAGGCAGGCGGTCTTTTCTAAGAAAAATCAACAGTGAGAAATGACAAAACGTGGTTTTCAAAAACATGCCTCTAATTACAAGACAGCTGATTCCGCTGATGATCAAAGATGAAACTGCAATCTGTTCCACTGCTAAAGGAGAAACTAGGGACACAAACCAGGATGTTGCATTTCATCAGACTTGGGATTTGCAGGGATATCTTGGACCATACAGAGTTTTCTCTCTCTCTTTTTTTTTAAAGATTTATTTTATTTGTACATACAGAACTAGGGTACAGGCCAGAGGCTCAGGGGCGGTGAGAGGCTTCACCAGAGACAGAGTGGGGAGCAGAACAGGCAGATCTACGAAGTACACTGCTGAGGGGAGCAGCGAGCAGGTCAGGAGAGGTCTGCCGCGCCGTGTGGTCACCTCCGGGGCAGGCGGGGATTGAACTCATGCGGCAGCGGCTTTAGCTTCTCAGTGCAGTGCTTTAACCCGCTGCACCACCAGGGAGGGCCCAGAATTTTCTCTCTTTACAAAGATTTTAGAATCTAATTTCCATCTCACAAGAGAATTCCAGTATATATCTTTGATTAAAGAAAATAGGGCCAGTAAGAGTAAAGTTGGCCCCATCTTTCTGGAGGGCAGTTCTACAACAGATACGTAAAGGCCTAAAATAGTATTCAACCGATATTCCCTTCCAATATTTTATTATATAGAAACTGCTTAGGGCAAAGACTTATTAATTAGTTCATGATAATTTTGTTTACAGGACTAGAAAAAACTGAAACAGGAAACTAGGAGCTGGTTAACTGCACATACTAGAATATCATGCTATTTATGATGCTGTAGAACAAGGCTTGCAAGGTGGTTAAGACAAAAAGTAGGTTACAACAATGGTTCTCAGTTGATTCCAGTTTTGAGAAAGGAAGTTTACATAAGGGATCTATTCCCCCGATATCAGCAGTGGTTATCTCTGGGAGATGGAATTATGGGTGTCTCTGTGTCTATTTTTCTTTTCCTTTTACCTGCCTGTACTTTCTAAATTGTTCATAATGACTTAGCTAAAAGGAAAATATTTACTAAAATCATAAAGAAATGGGAAAGTTTATTATTATTTAATATATATGGCTGGTTTGCTTGACAGACAAGTCTCTTGAAACAGAGCTTGTGGGGAAAAACAATTACCTAAAGATAGAAAGGGGGAGCCTCTAGCAGGGACCCCAGGCAAGGGGCAGTCACTGGAGGGTGCAGGTACTCACAGCCAGCTTCTCCTTGACCACGCTGGCCGTGGCTGCGATGGTGCAAGCTGTGTCATGCTGCACCACCTGGGTGAACTCTGTCAGGTCCCGCTTCATGAACTCCAAGGCTTCGGAGGACTAGGGAAGACACAGAGGTGACAGTCACTGGTCTCACCACCCTTTGTTCCTATTCCCTGGCCTTCTTTAGTATGAGACAGATACATAGGACACTCAAGTGGAATGGGGAGCTTGAGCTCAGAAACAAAGCCCACTTGTCCCAATTCCACATCAGGGCTTAGCTGACAACAGAGCGCACAACGGAACTTCCTGGTGCTCTGAACACGGAGACTGAGTCTCAGGCCAGACACTTGCAAGCAGGGAGCCACGGGTAACTCATGGCCCCAGTTTGCACCTCTGAAATGAGGCGGTGGGTTAGAGCTGTGGTTCTCAAGAAGAGACTGGAGAAGGGAGTACATGTCTGAAAACAAAAGATTTTGCTCGCATATACTGTCAGTCACGGTATCTGCTTCAACTTTCAAATAACAAAGAAAGGTGTGTGATTGTTTTATTAAAGTAGAGTTCTTCTAATTTTACTTTTTTGCCATAGGGAAATTTAGTTGAGGGAGTATGTGAAGTTATCCTGAAAGGCTTAACAATGTTGGATTATAACAGTGATAATTCAGAAAGCTTTTATGAATAATTCTTGAGAATTTGAAACTAGTCAAAAGGTGTGCAACTTTCACCTTCAACAAAAGGAGTGAAGAGAAATGGTGGACCAGATTCTCGCTAACGCCTCTTGGAGCCACCATGCAGGGCTCACTCACCTACAGAGCTCCCTTGGGCACAACGATGGGGCTTCTCTTGGATGATCTGCTTCTCCTCCTGCACTCGGACCCAGCTTGAAAGCTCCTGAACTCTCTTCTAAAGCCTGTCCTGTCTTGTTTCAACCATACCTACGCCAGGACACCTCCTGACGTGGGCCTCTCACACTACACAGGGACAATCGCTTGCATTTTTTTGAAGCATGTTTTTGAATGTTCTGGTGGTCTTTTCCTTTGAGAAAGGACTCCTAATTTTCATCAACCTTGAAAGTCTGTGAGCGCGCTGTGACCACCAGCCACAGGGTTCTCTGCAGTGGGAATCACATGAGGGTCATTTCTTCACCGGCTCTGTCCATTCACACTGCCACCACCTTAGTCCAGGCTACCCTGTCCTTTCCCTGCACCTTACCAGATTGCGTCAGATATCTTGCCTCCATTCTCATGACACCCTGGAAGCTTTGTCAGAACAGAACACATTGCCTTGCTTTACATTCTTCAGTGGTTTCACAGTATCTGGCATGCCAGTATAAAATCTTTACCTTCACTTAAAAGGCTAATGTAATTTTGTCTCTGGCAGACTCTAAGCTCCATCGCTGTATTGCTCGCTGAGGATCAGCTGGCCTTCCTCCAGTTTCTCAAATGTCCTAACATCTTCCCCACCTCAGAGTACCTGAACACAGTATTCTTTCTCTCTGACCTACCATTCTAAAGCTTCAAACTAAACAACCAAGCAAACAGAATGAACCCAATCACGTGGTCACCTTATTTATCCTCAAGATCTACACCTCAGATTAGCCTGGCTCTCCCGCTGCTTCATGTCATCAGGGCACTTGCATGTCCTCTTTTTGTTTTTTTTTAAAGCTTTTAGTTATTTTGTGCAGAAGAGCTGGGGTGTAGGCCAGAGCGTGAGAGAAGGTTCATCAGAGACTGAGTGGGGAGCAGAACAGGAGGATCCACTGAAATACACTATTGAGAGGTGCAGCAGGCAAGACAGGAAAGGTGCTGGGCCATGTACAGGCTAGCTCCCTGGCTGAGGCTTGAGTTCAGGCCAAACTGAGGCTATCGCAGAGGGCTGTCACAGCGACAGCACTGAGACTTAGCCCCCAGGCCTCCAGGCAGGCCCATGTCCTTTAATCTTTATCATACTTCAGACTTGTGGCTGATTACAATGTCTATCTTCTTGGCTAACTGTGAGTTTCGTGAACATGCAGCTCACATTTTTTGCTGATACCTCTCCCAGGGTCTCATATAGAGGTGAGCAGAGTTAGATACTATATCAGCTTGCAGAAAGGGTTTGTTTGCTAAATTTACATGCACCAGGGCATTTTAACTATATAACCATTTATATGATTATTTGATGAGTGGGTAGACTGTAAACTCTTGAGAGAACAAATACAAACAGACATGTACTACCCCTAGGTCAGTCTACTGTGGAAAATGCTCACATACCAGTGCTAATATGCCAGGGCAGAGCAGGGATCAGCGTATTATGGGGAGGTTAGGAAAACTTAGTGAAGGAATCCTGGACTGAGGCCTAAAGAACAAGCAGGAGTCAGCTGTGGAACCTGGGCGGGGGGCGGGGGGGCGAGATATCGCGAGAGCTCAGGCAGTCATCCACGAGAATTTCTGGCGGGCTGGCTCTCGGGCAGGACCTTCAGCGGCGGGGGGCGGGGGCGCATCAGGCTTACTGAGGCCTACAAGCATGATGCTCCAGTGAACATGAAAGGTGAAGCAGAAGCAGTGAGGAATAAGCTAATGAGATTGCCAAGCACAACCAAGGAGGACCTGGTCAGCCTGGTGGGTGACAAGTAGCCATGATTTGAAAGAGGTAGGGCACGATGAGAGCAACATTTCTGATAGGTCACTCCAGTGACTGGCCTAGAGGACAGGTCCAAGAGTGACCAGAGTTGAAGAGAGGGAGACAGATCAGAAGACTACTGCAATAACCTAGGAAAGAAAATAGAAGACCCTGAGTAAGGTCAGTGCTGGCAAAGATAAGAGGATGAAAGTGGTTCAAGAAATATTTGGCAAAAGAGGTGGATTTGATGATTTAATAGATGTGTTGCCAATGCTGCTAAGGGACATCCACTGGCTGCTAAAACAGGTGCCTGGGTAGACAAAGAGCTCCCAAGCTGAGAGAGAAAACTGAAAGGGGAGCCAAGTTTAGAGAGAAAGTGACAATGACTTTGGTCATACAGAGTCACAGTGACTGTGTGATATCTGGGACAGTTGGGTAACAGGAGATATTCTCAAACACTGAAGTCTGAGCAGGGGACTAGTCACCCTAATATGAAAATGGAAGTCACCCCAAAAAGTCTGTAGATTGAACAGAACAGTGGGTTGAGGAAAGGCCCCACAGATACCACCTTTAAAGGACAGGCAGAGAAATAAGAACACATGATAGCAGAGCCTGGAGAAGTTTAAGGATTACAGAGGATTGAGAGAGTCATAGTATAAAAATGAAGTGAGGAGAGTTTCAAGAAAGAGTGATCACCAGGGTCAAAAGCAACAGAAAGGTCTGAGAAGATAAGGGCTAAGGGCTGAAAACCCACTCACTGGACTTGGCACACTGCAGGTACAGCTGAGTGGCAATATAGATAACACTGTCAGGGTGGGTGGAGAGCTGGACTACCAGATACCATGTTGTTGACTTCAAATTAAAAACAACAACAACAACACAGGAGGTGAGGTTGTCTTCTGTAAGTAAGAGTTACTGAACAGGGGACCCAAGGGAAGAATTAGGTTGGGAAAAGATTCTGAAAGGAAGGCAAGAAAAGCAAATCAGTGTCTGAAAAATCTTGGGGTTGGGGGGTGGCGAGGGGTGTTTGGACCCAGATGAGGTTAGGTAATCTGGTGGGGCCAAAAAGCAATGTGACTTCATCAGTGCGTGTGGGCAAATGTGTGCATTCTCTCTTTCTGAGATAAGGAACAGAGGAAGGAGGAATCTGACACCATCTCAGAATTGTAGTCTTTGGGGCTAAGAGGTACAAGAGAATTGAAAGTGGAAGGAACTGAATGACCCAGATGGAGCCAGGATAGGAAGGGAAGGAAGCAAGGTAGAAAAGCCTGGAAAATACCAAAAGACCAAGAAAAAAGAAACAAAGTAAGGATAAAAGGACTCATAGGATTGAAGAGATCTTCCCATCACTCTCAGGACTGATTAATAGCTAAATCTTCTATAGGACTTAACTATGTGCTAGGTACTGTTCTTAGTACTTTACGTGTCTTATTTGATCCTTACAGAAATCATATCAGGTGGGTACTACTACTATACCCATTTTATAGTTGACTGGACTAGAAAGGTGAAGGAATTCTGCCAGGTTTATACAAGAGTAAGAAGCTGAGAGGAAAACTAAGTCTTCTCTTTCTGAATGGGGAATCATCAAAGGCAGAAACACACTACCCCTCTGCTTCAGGAGTCTACAAAGAACAAAGATGAAGGTTAATCAACTACCTGTTTTTCATAAGGCCCTCAAACATGTACTAAATGAAAGTCACACACTTTTCCCAGTAGATTACTCAATAGGGAGTGGGCTACTTCTGTTAAAGTCTCTCAACCTCTGTGAAAGTCTCTCCTAGTTTCAACAATATGAATATCTCAGGACCTTCTCAGACTTGCTGAACTGAGAGGCTATCCAGGAGCACACAGGTGAGGGAGAGGAATAAAAATGCTCCAGAGTAGAGGACTAAGTTAACTTAGACACTTCCTAAAGTGTCCCCTGAAGCAAGACTCACCCCAGTTGCTTTAAGTAAATAGTAACTAACTTTTTCCAGAACTAAGTTAACTGGTTTTGACAAACTGACATGGAATGAAACAAAACACACAATGGCACCGATGATGGTCAGAAGTCTCACTCACCCCTCAGAACTGCTGTCTCCCCACTATACTATAAGCTTTGTGAGGCCCAAGACTCATCTAGCTAATGTCTCTCCTCAGGACATGTCAGTACTAGCTGTGATATACTCTAATATTTAAATGACTACAGGAGTAATTTTTTATAGCTAGAATCCTTTTTCTCCAAAGCCTGGGTCAAGTATTCTCTTTTACAAAGATGTCATCCCCCAAGCTGGAATAAATTGCTCTTTCCCATGGATTCCTATAAAAGGGTCGCTCCAGCCTTTAAAACGATCTTTATATGACTATACATAGCGACTCACCGCGTGAGATGGGCCCCCCTTACACCAACTGGAGCTAAAAATCCGCCGCACCCCTAAGGCCGAGCGCCCGAACAGGTCGGGCGGGGTCCCCAGGTTGCAAGGAGGCGGCACGAAGGAAAGCATCGGCCCGGCTTACCTTCTCCTTGACTGCCTGGTAGCTCTGCTGCAGCCAGCTCCGCCACCATCCCACGTCCTCCCTGTGGAAGACAGACACATCTGGCAGCCCCGCGGTGCGACCCCAGCCCGCCCTAAGATCCGGCCCTTCAGATCTCAGTTTCCCCTCAGATGTGGCCTGCGCGCCGAAACTTAGCAGATCATTTCCCCACCACCTCACATTGTGACTCCACTTCCCCGTTCCAATTCCGCCCACGCCCTCGCTGGCCTCCTGTTCCCCACCGTAACCCTGGCCAAGCACCCCAACCCTGGGGGAATTCGGGCCCCAACGCCCGAGAGCTGGAACACTGGCTCACCCTTCCGCCATCTTGCCTGCATGACATCACCACTATTTACTGACCTTTGACTTCCGACACGGCCCCGCCCCCTCAAGCACCGCCCCGAGGCCTCTGCCCAATCCTCGCGCTGGTCCCGCCCCCAGGTCAGTTTCCGCTCCGCTCTACCGCTAGGCCCCGCCTCCTGGGGTGGGTGGGCCCGGCTCTAGAGCTGGCTTTAAACGCCGCCCGGTGTTCAGTCTTAGCCTCCTTCGGTTCCGCCTTCGGGCCCACCCCCAGCGTTAGCCCCACCTCCACCTGGCTGGCATCGGAGCGGTGCCCGCCTAACCCGGGTACGGTGGCTGCTCTGGGCCACGATTGGCTCCCAGCCTGGGCCGCGGAGAATTGGGAAGGCTACGGAGCACCAGCCCGGGGAGCCTGGCCGCCGCCGGAACGTTTGGATTCCGGGGCGCACCGCTAGCACCGCCCCCCTTTATGAAACCAGCCGCGTAGCAGCTGCTTGGGCGCTCTTCGGGTTGATTCGGCGAGCGCTAGCTGCGAGATTCCGGGTCAGGGTTGGAGGTGTGTGGAGAAAAATTCAGAGGTGACTTAAATGATGTCTCTGGAGAGTCTCTCCGGGTATTGGGGAGATAGGTACTCATTCACCTGTTTCACATGTTAGCGGTCTAGGCGTGGTGGTGGTTAGGGGGAACCCGGAGGCCGTCTGGAGGGACGGGACCGAGGATGTGTGTGCTGTGAGCCCTCCTGAAGGAGGGCGTGTAGGGTGTGTGTGAGAGACTTTCCCGAGGTGCACGCTTCCTGCTCAGAATCCCTGCACCTGCTCCCACATGCTCTGCATGCCACCCGTGCCTATCGTTTATTTAAGGGAGTGGCTTCAGTAACTTCCTCACTCAATTCCTATTCTCCCTTGGCAGGATTATTCCTGTCATCATACATGCTGTTATTTCTCCCTTCTTAAAAGCAAGCAGAAAGCTTGGCCCTACATTAGTGCCCTACTTCTCTTTACAGCAAACCCCTGAAAAGTTGCCTGTGTTTACTATCTCAGCTCCCCTCTCCTCCATTCTCTCTAGGACTCACTGCAGTCAGGTTTTTACCTCCCCACAACTCTTTGAGATAACTCTTGTTAAACTGCCAAGAGGAAGGGCCAATTTTCAATCCTCACCTTATTTGATCCATCAGCATCTTTAACACAATTGATCACCTTTGGACACTTCCCTTGATTTTCAGGACACCATGCCTCCTGGCTTTCCTCTTAACTTACCTCCTACCTCTCTGGCATTTCTTTCTTTCTCAGTGTTCTTTGCTGTCTTCTCTTGTTGACCTCTTGTTGCTGGGATGTTCCTAGGCTGGGTCTTTGGCCCTCTCCTTTTCAAAGGTCTCTTCTCCTTCCCCAGTTGATCTCATCAAATCATGTGATTTTTAACACCATTTTTACACCAGCAGCTTTTCTCTCCAACCCACACACATCTCTGATTTGGATTATCTCTATTTGGGTCTTTAGCTCTTTTTGGATATATTATGAGTATATGAAACATCATCTGTCCCAAACCTCAGCTTCCAGCCAATTTTCCAAAGATGTAAGTGGCAATCTCATTCTTCCAGTTAACTAAGCCAAAATCCTGGCAGACGTCTTTCATTCCTCACTTTCTTAAAAAAATTCCCCAGAAAATCTAGTTGGTTCTTTCTTTCTGTCTTTCTTTCTTCTACAGAATAACTAGAGGTGCTGGGGGGTGAGAGAATTCACCAGAGACAGAGTGGGGAGCAGAACAGGCGGATCCACTGAAATACACAACTGAGGGGAACAGCGAGCAAGACAGGAGAGGTCTGCTGTGCCATATATGGGTTAGCAACCTGGAAGGGGGATCACAGTCAGGCCGTAGTAGTGATAGCACTTAACCCTAGGCCATCAGGCCTATTCTGTCTTTAAAACTAGAATTCTGTCACTCTCATTGCCTCCACCTCTACTGTGTAAGTCCAAGTCACCATCATCTCTCACCCAGATAGATGCAAAAACCTCTAAATTGGTATCTCTGTATCTGCTTTGCCTTTTGAGTCGAGTCTTAATTCATCCTGAAAGTACTCTTTTAGAAAGTATAAGAAGGTAAAATGATGTGTCTGTATGAAAAACAGTGACAATACCTCAAAAATGTAATAACAGAATTACCATATGATAGTTCCACCCTAGGTGTATACATATATACACCTAGAATATGTATATATATATATATATTCTACCCAAAGAATTGGAAGCAGATACTCAGATTTTTTGTACATCCCTGTTCATAGCCACAGTATTTACAATATTTACAAGAGGTAGAAGCTATTAAGTGTCTGTTGACAGATAAATGGATAAACAAAGTGTGATACACATAATGGAACATTATTTAGCCCTAAGAAAGGAAGAAATTGCCATACAAGCTACCATATGGATGAACCTTGAAGATGTTAAGTAAAATAAGTTATCACAAAAGAAGTAGTTTTGTGTGATTGTAATTTGAGGTACTTGGAATAGTCACATTTATGGAGACAAAGTTCAATGGGGAGAGGGTAAGTGACGTGGTGATATCAGGAGTTGGGGGGAGGGGGGGACATTTAACATGTTTCGTGGGTACATTGGGAAGTTGGAAAAGTGCCTGGAACATAACAGAGGCTCAGTATTTATTGAGCAAATGAAAAACATAAATGTAAGAACAGCTAGGACAAAGATAGGACAGATTTGTTTTTTTGAAGATAGGACAAATTTGAAGCATTCTGGAGAGGCTACCTGGAAAGGTGGAGGTAATACTCCAAAGGTCGTTAACATCTAGATTGTCAAGAGTCTTGGGTGCAGGTTAAAGACTCAGGCCTGATCCTTGACAGCGGGGAGTTGCCAAAGGTGCTGTGAAGGCAGCATCCAGGTTACCACACACTACTGGCACTAGTCTAATGATGCCATTCATTAAACAGGAGAGCATTTTACTTCACGTACTCTGTGTGATCTTCCCCGTAGCTGTCTGCAGTTGGAACAGTTTTTAATCTCCATTTTGTAGATGAAGAAGCTAAAATTCCAGGAGACAAGGTGACTTTCTGAGGGTCTTATAGCTAGGAAATGGCAGCACTCCCAAGGCTGTGCAATAAAATCAAGTTCCTGCACATCTCATATGTGCAGACATATCGTCTTACCTTCGTTCAGCCTGCTGTCTTCCCCCACCAGATAAGCTCAAGGTAGGCATGGTAGCCTTGACTATATTTACTTCATCTCATTCCCTACCCCCAGGCTGAGCACAGTCCTTTTTAGTGAGGTCCTCAGTGTGTGGACTGAGTGGGACCCTCTGCTTGGCCCTCTTTGATCTCGCGTATTTATTCATCCTCACACATCTCTTTGGTCTCTCCTGTTCACCCTCACCTTGATCTTGGCTTCCTTCTCTGGTCTGATCATCTGGATTCAAATCCCATCACAGCAGCTTCCCAGCAATTGCTGGGAACCCTTTATTAACCTTTTAGGCACAGGTAACCCATTTCATGTCAGCCTTGGGCAAATCATCTCCCTTGGCTTTGTTTCCAAACTTAAAGTACGACTCCTGCTTATTGTGATTGTTAAGTAAGATTAATAAAACATCTAACACACCATCTGGCTCCATGGGGGGAAAGGATGTTTTGAACAAACTCCACAAGTAGGTTTTATGGATTCTACCCCCACGCCAGACCAAAGAGGTCCAAGCCACCAAGACCTAGAGGCCCTATAATGTCGTCATCACTGAAGGGAAGATTGCTGGGACTTGAGGGTAGAGCCAGGTCTGGTATAAAACCAGACATGTGGGCCTTGGGGGTCTCTTGGTTTTTGCTGGCTTTCAGCCTGCTATTGTGTTCCAGCAGAACTGGTAGGACACATTCACCAATTTATCTCCCTCTCTTTCTTCCTGAGTTATCCATTTCTTCATTCCCCCTTTTGTAAATAAACCCTTTATGAACCTTTTAGGCACAGACAACCCATTTCATAAGTTGTCATTGTTTGAGCTTCCTACCCCTGTGCTAAGACCCTAGCACAATGCTAGGCCTGGCAGAAAGTTCATCAACCTCTGTTATGTTAAGCAGTGTGTTGAAAACATGGACAGGGTGTCAGCAGAAGTCAATTTTAATCCTTGGTTTGAGCATCTGTTGCTTTTTCTGTCTGGAACAGTTTCTTCACCTCAGGGTCTTGTGAAGTAGGAATGCAGTAGATCACCCTCTCCCTGACAGGCAGACCCTCCCTTCACCCACAGTTCCCTTCCAGCTCAGCGCTGCTTGACATCTCTAGGTTGATGATTGTCTTTTTGCTAGGTCCTCTGGCCTTGACTCTGAGAGTCTTGACACTCAGGTGCCACCAGATGGTGCTGTGAACTCATTTCAATGAAGCCGCCTTCCCTTGGCTGGGCGGTCTGGAAGTGGTGAAACCCTGTGGGCTCTTTTGCAGAGGCTGGGCTTCCTTGGTGGAAACCAGCCAGGCCCAGGATGATTCCAGAGGTGGAATTTCTAGATCCCAAGCCCATGCTGTGGATATTCCAGCAGAGCGGGCAGCAGGACCAGCCACACAGTTTGCGGGAATCAATGCAAAATGAAAATGTCTAAGTTGCTTGTAGAGGAAGTCCAGGATATGTCTAAAAGCCTGTAGGATTCCAGTTCGGCCTGTGAGAGCTTGATGGTTAAAATTTCAGGAATTTTATGAGCTGGTTAATGAATACAAGCATTTTAAAATTAAAGTATATAAACTTATAAATACATTATATAAAGCAAAAGTAATAAATGCCCCAAGCCCATAAGTGTGCAGTTGCTTTTATGCATTTCATTATCTAATGCTTTTGAAATGCGTTACACTGGTTGTGTCTATATGGTGGAAATACACTATAACATTGTTCGTCTCTTCCCTACTCTGCACTCAGTGATGTTACTTTGGTGATTTTAAATTGACAAAGGTGGGTGTTTACATGACTAATATCTACAAACTCTACATGTCATGCCCCCTCCACTAGCCTCCATCAAACCATTTAATTTGGCCAATACAAACCACCTGCTGGCACCCCATGTGCCGGGCTGTGTGATCCTG